TCAAAGCAAAATTAGCCAAATAGTAAAATAAAATCATATGTCGTTGAGTTCGTGTTATGTAAACAGATTTTTAAAAACCGACGAAATTTTATTGATTAAAATAACAAAACTTGAAAACAATATTTCTAGGTTTTAACCAAGTAGATAAATTCGAATATTTTTAATATATTTATTCCATTTAAATCAGTAAGTATTATTTTAAATAACAGGTGTTTCAAAATGTACCAAAAACGGAAATTTGACGAAGCACTGATTAATCTGACAATAGACTGTAGTACCCAAAGATACTCAGCCTCCTATAGAATACTTATGAGACTAGCTAGAAAGTTATCACTCTATCGTAAGGGAATGTTCAATGTTTACGAAAGAATGACACAAGACCGCAACAGAATATGTATCTTATTAAACTTTGCTTTGTTTGACGTTGTAGTACTCAGTGTGGTTTCAAACCGTTTAGCCAAGCGTCTGATCTACCTAACAACCTCGTTAAACAACACTCTCTGAGACGATTAAACCGTGCCCATATTCATCGTATTTAATTGTATTGTACTGAAAGGTAATATTGCACACTTGCCCTGCGCTGATGGATTGATTAACAGAGTTGCCCTACTCTACGGTATAACATTGCGTAGTTGCCCGGCTCTGAATGATAACATTACAATGTTGCCCTGTCCTGAAGGATAACATGAAGTCAATGTCCTGCATTGGAGGATAACTTGTATAGTTGTCCATCCCTGAAGGATAACATTACGCAGTTGCCCTACCATGAAGGATAATATTATATAGTTGCTCAGTAGTGAAGGATGACATTACGCAGTTGGCCAACCCTGGAGGATAACACTGTATAGTTGCGCGGCACTGATGGATGACATTATGCAGTTGCCCTATGCTAGAGGTTAATATTGCATAGTTTCTTTCCCATATGAGGTCTCTTGGCATTGTCTAATGGTTGTCGAGGCTAGTGTAGTTTTTCATTAGTTGGGAGTACAATCCTAACTAAGCCCCCTATATTAAATGCCGCATTATATATCCTGACAATAATTTGACATGTTGATAACGTTTACTCAGGTGTCTGTCATGATACCTGTCATGGGTAAACTACAGCCTGCGGGCCACACGCAGTCTGTTTAGTCTTTCTGAATGGTACGCTTAATTTCATAAGGAAAATAACGTTTCTTCAAAGTTTATTTTGCTTCGTTCTCACTTGTTCACTAACACATTCTCTCATACGTAACCACATACATAGACAATGATTAAGTGCAAATTTTTCTTGAATTTTGTAAACTTTCGGCAAACGAAATTAACGTCGTCAGCATTTTAAAAAATTAGCCATATTCTCTAAGGAGGATCATACGCGTAAACATAGTTTGCTTTTGAAACGGGAAACGTTCATAAGATTTTTTTTTCTCTGAAGAAAAATGTTTTCATTTTCAAATCAATAAATTTGAAATAAATCCCAGTGACATATGGTAATCACATTGTCATCAGTGATAATATTATGCCAAGACTTTCAATGTTCCCTGTATCTTTTCCTCAAACACGCCTCTTCACTCTTGTTCTGAATCCTCTGTAACCCCTTGCTTGGGATGAATTGCTTTAAAAAAAAACAATCAAAAAATATTTTCTAAAAAATAAAACTGTCCTACTGATTATAAGGTATATAGTTATGCATATGGTATTCTGTAGTGTAAATAGCTGACGTATCTACTACGAAAAATTGTCTTGAATCTGTTTTGTAGTTCGACCCGCCATGTGATGAGTTATAGATCATGCAGCCCACTGTTCTAAAATGCTTGTTCATAAATGTCGTAGACTATTACACCTAAAAATGATATTAAATGTACATGTCAGTATATTAACCAATCAATACCACACCGTTAAATATTTGGGAGATATCTGAGGTAGAAATCAATAAATAATGCCAAACATTTTTAGAAACCTGTAATAAGGATTTTTTTATGAAAATGTAATTAATAATCGACTTTTATAAACCTATAATTACCAACTGACTTTTAAGAAACCTAAAATGAATATTGGCTTTTTTAGAAACTGAATTTTTTAGAAACCTAAAATGGATATCGGCTTTTTTAAAAACTGGATTTTTTAGAAACAAGTAACTATTGCCGGACTTTTTAGAAACCTATAATTTTTGACAACCTATAACTAGTGTAGGTTTTTAGGATCTAGCAATTAATACCTTTTTTTTTTATTTCTTTAAACGGTATCCGATTTTGGTTTTTCTTTTGTTTAATTAATAACGATTTTTATTTAAATTTCTTCCGTTGCATTCCGTTCGAATTTTTATATTTATTTCTTTAATACAAGATCAAGACACGGATATGCAATGTTGTTGGTCTTGATCTGCCATCTCGTCTACAGTAGCTCTCTCACAGTCCTACCGTCGCCTCCTTCTGTCTTTTCTACAAATATTTTCACGGTAACTGCTCCAACGAGCTACTTACCCTAGTTCCCAAACTTCATGAATTTAAGCGTGCCACTAGGTTGACACCTCAATCCCACCCTTTCACTGTCGAAACGATTAAATGTGGCCGTCTCTTCTACTCCAATAGCTTCATGTCTCGTATCTCCCGTCTGTGGAATTCCCTTCCTGTTATTTGTTGCCTTGATAGCTATAATTTCCAAATATTCAAATGTATCTTCAGATGCCCTGACCTATTCCCTATCCTTCTCTTCATCCTTTCTTCCATGAAGCCTCTTTACTCTCGCTCCCACTCTGTAACCCTTTGCGTACTAGTGGCATCCAGCCTTGCTTGGGGGTGAAATGATAAAAAAAACACGAAATTATGAAATAAACTACATTCTCGTTTATAATATATACTACTTATTAGAATTTTTACTCAAATCTAGCCAAAATTTAACAGTTGTTAGATATTGTATCTGATCCGTATCGAATGAAATTAATAAAATCATTTAGCGTTCATTAAGTTTTGAAACTCAAACTTTCGAGCAAACAAACGGACATGAGACAAACCCCGATAAGAGGTTTCAACAAGGTTATTAAAATACTCGCTAGGCCTCCATGAAAATATCGTGGAAATGTCATTGAAAAAGGCTGTATCACGAAAATACTGTCATCTTTTATAAGACAGAACAAGATGACTCTGTGGACGACAACAACACTGAAGATAAGGCCTCTACTGCGTTGACAACTGATTATTTAGCCTAAAAGTTACGTGCGTGCATTATACACGAGAAGTAAATATTAACTTTCTTTCCAAGTGATATGTTCGCCATATCCGGGATGGTATAACCTAAAATAAGTCGTCTCTATGGTTCAAACAAAATAATGTACAAGAAAGACTTTAAATCACGAACCAAATTTTGCATTTTTTATTTTAAGAAAAAATTATTTAGTATTTATTTACTTAGATCAATTTTTGTGCGATTTACTTATGTGAGGTAAGATAGACGCCATGACAGTTTCAGTTATGTTGAATTTTAAGCAAGAAGCTCATTTATTCAAACTCCCTTATTAAATACAATAAAATTACATGAAATATAATTGCCATTGTGTTTCCAACTATTCTCTCTTAACATTTCATGCAAATTGTATACATAATTTCTGATGATTTCTCATTTCAATTGGGATGATGGGTTTATAATAATGATAACATCCGTTTCCTTATATAAAATATTGTGCATTCGTTTCCGTCAGTTGAAATTTATAACATCTTTTTATGCAAATATTTTCCAGAAAAAAAAGTTTCTCAATTTCATTAACTGTTATCGCTCTTTCCAACACTGATTGATGCTTCATTAGGATTAATAAGTTTCTTTAAATATAAGTTAAAACATGACAGAAGTTTATACAAAAATCATAAGAAATATTCCTATTTACCCCTGTATAAATATCTTCTTCCACTATTGGGAGGGGCTTCAATCCTAAGTGGTGTGGAAGGTCAACATTTATTTTCTCATCTTGTTACATGAGCTTTCCATTTCAGACATCATGTGATGTGGTTATTATTTGTTATGAGGATATTATTTGTTATTTGTGGTGAGGTTATTATTAGTTATTTGTGATGAGGTTATTATTTCTTATTTGCGATAAGGTTATTATTTCTTATTTGTCATGAGGTTATTATTAGCTATTTGTCATGAGGTTATTATTTGTTATTTGCGATGTGGTTATTATTTTTATTTGCGATGAGGCTATTATTTGTTGCAGTTCTTCGATTCTGTTTCTGTAGTGCCAGTCCACAAGTTTCGAAAAAGGATAGTCCCAGTTCTACAGGCTTAACTTGGTGGAACTTATTTTAACTATTGAACTGAGAAATCGGTTGTATACATGTGACAGTTTAGATATTTCTGAATGAATTTGGCTACATGCATGTCATTATTTTATTTTCATAAGAACTGAATTTAATTTTAAACCACAGTACCATTAGAGGGAAAGAATAAATTTCAAGCTCTTTCGTTTGATTAATACTTTCATTTATTATCAATAACTTCCGTATAACACGCTTTAGGCGCGCTAAGATGTATTGGGTTCGACAAAGAAGTTGGTAAAAAAACTCTAAGATTTGGTTATTTGGCTAGATTTTCCGAAGTGGCAGAAATCTTCAACTTCCACGTGTTACTTTCCAAGAAATAAACAAACGGGCGACATTTAAGAAGACCGTTCTTTAAAGCCACGATAAATTCCATAAATGTCCTAAGGCATTTAGCATTTACAAAAATTCTTATAAATTCTGACATTTTCACGATAATTTTCGCTGCTATTAATAAAACGGATAATTTTTCATCAACTCTACAGTTCTCATATGATAACTTTAACAAACATAAAACTAACACTAATAAAATATTTAAATCGATTTCGACGTTTGGAAATTCTCGAAAGTCTATAAAATCTCTGATTAAATACTGTGCTTGCTTTAATGAAAATCTGTCCCACTTCTTGGCTGTTTTAAAGTATAAAAGCAGCCACCATATTTGAAAGCATATGAGGACTTCACCTGTTTTTGCAAGTTAATGCGTACGGTCAATCCCACTGAAAATACCAGTTCTCGTTCAATCAACGAAGTTAAGCAGCGCCGATTCCGACCAGTACTTAGATGGGAGATCGCTTGAGAACTCCAGGGACTGTAACTCCGACAACCCTAAATATTTAGCTTTTAAATAAAGCAGAAAAGGTTGTTAAACCGTAAAAAACAAATCCATCAATACATTTCCAAACAAATGATTAAAAAATACATATATGTTAAATAATAACTAATGTTTACCCAGACACTAAAGGCTACCAATATTTACGTTTAGCCTACATCACCAATGCTATAATATGAAACGTAAATAAGGGAGTCTTATATATCCTCATATATTTTAGTTTATATTTAAATAACATATAGAGCATTAGTGCTAACTTAATCACCTAAATTAAGCAGCACTGACCCTAATCAATATTCATATGGGTAATCGCTAATAAACTTGTGTCCTTGACTTAAGATTAAACTGAAACTTACTGTTGTGATTCGAATAAATGTCTGGCCTAAGCAAAAGAAAAAATAAAACGGAAGTAACCGTGTGGCCATTTTGTATATCAATGGATATGAAGCAGTTTTCAACGAGACGTACTGTCGACGAAGACGATATCTAAAAAGAAAAAATGTCGAATATTGATCCCTTGGATGAATATGGTGTTATCAGAAAATATATCTGCTTATTTGGATCAGAATTAACAATTCTTCATATCGAATGATATTGTGCTTGGCATTCTCCCGTACATTTTCATACTATTGGGATTAAATATTAAATTCATTTCTTATGTAAATAATTCAATGTCATGCAAAGCGACGAAAAATTTCATCGGAAATATCTAAACTGTCACTGCTTTCTCATATCAATGATTAAAAATTGTTTCCAACCTGTCGGACTTAGCGATGATCATCCTTTGTCGAACTGGCGCTACAGAATCATAAACCAAAGATCTAATCCAGAATTAGAAGGGAAACGTAAAGCAATTGCACCTAGCGCTATCAATGGAAAAAAAACGTCGATTTGTACAGAATCCATTGAAAAATCTTTTAAAGGATATTAAAGAACTGACCAATAAAAACACTTCGTGGTAAGGTAAAAGTTCCCGCTTTCATAGCGCTAGACAAGACGATGGTGAATTCTTCAAAAATTTGTGATTTTAAATTACGTAGCTTCTATTTTTAGCTTTAAAATGTTGCTGACTGAAGCCTTAAGGGAAAGATTTTAGTGGCTTATCAAATGTGAGCATAAAAGTAAGACTATTGCGGGAAGACAAAGTGTGTTTAGACGCTTCATGTGACGTTAGTATTAAAAGCTGAAATACAGGCAAGAGAATAGAATACAAGGAAATTGTCTTTTATTTGCGGTGACAAATGGTATAAAACGAATGAACAGTATCCAAAAAGGGGGGAATTGTATTAACTGCTAGAAAAAGATTCTGAACTTTTCTGTTATTTCACCCGAAAATATAAATTCACCCCAAAATAAAAAGAATTTATTTTTACTAAAATTCACTCCAAATTCTCCCAGAGTCAATCCCTTCCATTGCACTTCAGTTGTGCTGACTTTTGCGATCGCCCCAAATGTGGGCGACTTGGGTGCGCTATTTTCAAGTGTGGGGGTTTCGGTTACGCTTATCCCGATAAAAAAAAAAAAAAAGCCAAAAGCAGATTTAAAAAAAAATTTTTTTTTTTAATTGTAAAAATTCCCTTTAAGTACGTCGAATATCATCTGCACTTATGAAATGGGAATAACTCGTTTATTCTTTGGTAATTTTTCATTCTGAAGGTTAGAGTTGTTGTTAAGCAAGCTAAACAAATTTTGTTTTAAAATTTATAATTTCAAAAGTACCAAATATTTAATAAAAAAGAACAATTATTTAAAATTTATAATTTCTTGGAATGAATTAATATTTGCGATAAGTAACTATACATTATTTTGGGTTAATTAACTGAAAAGATCCAAGGAATCATTTTCCAAGTATTTTAAGAAAAGTCTGTCAAAAAGCTAGTCGATCTATATACAAAAGTTAGACGAAAAAAACTCAAGACAAAATCAATCTGACATTGTACAAAACGGATTTTAGTGAGTTTGAACCTTATACATGTAATTGGAGATAAATGGAATCCTCAGTGAGATGGAAATCGGTATCGGATTTTCAATGGCTCTTGATAAATAAAATACAATTTAATAAATAGTCGAACCGTGATCTCATTGAAAACGGCATAGTGCAAGAGTTTCTTACAGGTGAGGGCATTGCACGTCGAGGAGTGGCAAAATTAAGAATTACATAAATGACGAATTTCTATGATTTCATTTGATTGGTTGTAACGAGATCGAGAACAAATCTATTTGACTTGGAATGTTGGCAATTTATGTATATAAATAACTGATTAAGGGGACCGAAATTCTGAGTTCTATTTCAATTGGCTGCAGTTTTTAATATACCTAGTGGTAACCTTCTTTTTATGAAAGCTCAGTTTGTGCATATCATTAACCCTACGAGAGAAAGTGAATGCTGACAGTAAGTTTTTCGACTATTATTATGAACCCAGTTCTTTTTGTTGTTTTTTTTTGTTGTTGTTTTTTTCTAAATATGCTTGCTCCATAGTACGAATGTTGAAGAAAAATGGCTCTATTCGGACCTTTGGTTGCGTTAAACAGATCATGAAACTTTTTTGCAGAGAGATGAATATCCTATTCCAAATATTTAGCAAGTTATATTCTTGTGCCTCTCGATACTTTACGAAAATTGGTTTCAGTGACATCTAGGTATTGGTTAGCGTTTAAGATTCACTAAAGTCGTCAACAATAAACAAAGAAAGGTGTCTTTTTGTGCGCACCAAGTTATGTTTTGGAATTAGTAACTCATTCAGATTAGTCCAATGAAATAATAAATGACATCTCATTCTCTGTGTTCCAGTTCCCGTCCAATCACCAAATTTTGCTGTGTGCCGTGATATTCTCATTTGCGCCTAGGTGTGCCGTTGCTTAAAAAGGTTGAGAAATCCTGCTCTAAGATGATGATGTGTAGATATAAGATTAGAGACATTTTAGATGTCAGTCCCCGATGGAGACAGGTTCTCAACCTATTGTAGAGAGTGACAGGTCAATTAAAACTATGAAAAAAAAAAAATGTAACGAAAACTCATTCGATGCCAGCTGGCTCCGAAAACATTGATACAAGCCGGTAAATACATATCGTAAAAGGACCTATTTAAAGTAGGGAGAGGAAGAAATGGTTTTATACCTTTCTCAATGTTATTTCCGCGAAAATAAATATAATGGACTCAACTGGAATTTGAACTGCCTTCGCCGATTTCTTATTATAAGTCGCTACAATACGTACACATCATTTTATTTTTGTAAAGAATGCCTTTAAAAATATCCTTTCGATTATTTAAAACGTTTAATTAAATAACCAATAAGTCTATGTGATAATGGCCTAAAAGATTAAAACGTTAGTTCGTTAATTTGGTGACATATTGATTGTGAGTTCAATCACTGGGTCGGGCAGTGTGTACGTGGACACGGTGGAAACAGGAGAGCAATAAGCTAGCAGTACGAAAAATTAGAACTAGGCAAGATATCCCGAGAGAACGAGAACAATCTACCCACCTTCATCTCGGAATTTCCAGATCGATAAACACCTGATGAAGGTCGAAACATTGTGATAACTACCACAAAGATTAGGATAATAGTCAAACAATAGTTTAAATAATAACTCCTCACCCAAGAAATTCAGACAGAAACAATAAGTTATTTCACAATGGCTTTTCTAACGGATTGAAACATAGGCGCTAGGTCAAGTAGGACCCAAGTGATGTGTCTTATGACGCATGCCCAAAAAGTGTCCAGCCAGTTAACTAGAGCATTTGCGTCTTAATTCACTTCAATGTATTTCCCGTTGAACTTCAAAAAATTATCCCGGAGTTTCCCCCATTTTTCAAAAGCCTGCAATGCCTACTCTTGGCACGCTGTAAACTGCCTAATCACATTCTCCTTACTCTTGTCCACTTTCAACGGTGATTTTATCTTTTGACCAGAAGCAAAATCTGTATTGTAAAGGATTTAATTACTTTGGATGATATGCTGTTCTACCAGAATCCTTGCGAAGATTTCAATGTGGTGCTGTGTTACATCAACTCCACCCAAACACTTCACGAAATAGTCAATATAGTTGAATGCTTTACATACAGACGTCGTATATGTCATTAAAATTATAATAAACATGTTTAAAGGTAAAGAAAAAACGATCATTTAAATGGTTATTTTCTGTAGATAACACACCTTTGCTCGAGAGTGTCGCTTTATGGAATATTCTGCAGCTTCAATAACCACAGAAATTAAAGCTTCTATGCGGACGTCCAAACGCTAACTGTAAATTGCAGCAAATAATCTGCCTTGAAGACTTACTGTTGTCTGTTCAAGTAACACTGTATATATTTTAAAGGTGTAAGTTAAATGCAATTAAAATGCAGTTAGTTTAGATTTGTTCAATACAAGACTTCAGTAGCGAAGCACGCAATGAAGATCAAATGCAGTAGATGAGATAATCGAACAGCGTGAGTGGCATGGTTGTCCATGAAGTCAAATGAAAACACAGTACGTGATCTGGTCTCGTGATTTATGTAGACGTATAAAAAGCGGCAACCTAATCACAATTGTCATCGTTTGCGGAATATAAAGAAGCAGGAAAGCCAGTGAAAACCAGAGAAATGTCACGTTAAAATATACGGTCTAACTGTAGAAAAAACTCCATCGTTCGTTCGGTCTTATATTCTCTCTCCGGACAAGAGTTTTGATAAATCGAAAACTTTCAACCACAACGGCTGATGTCCGTGTTTTATTTCCTATTCCTATCATCCTAATACTAAAACTTAACACAAAAAAATGAAGTATCTTATTACGTTTGATGTGTCAAACTAAGAATACATAATGACATGCGTTGTTTTTAAGTGTATGTTTCCTATCTGATAGAGATATATATCATACACTGATTTATAAGTTTCATAATCTTGGAGTTTTTATTTGTTTGTTTGTTCGAGTTTTTCCTTTTTGCTGATGTTTTCTGATGAAGTGCTTATGAAAACAATTTGATTTTGACTTCTTTACG